CATCCCCAAAGTCCATTCTTTTCATATTGTACTTGTCTATTAACATTTCATTGCACTTGTAATCATAAATAAGTTCATGCTCTAATTTGCTATGTTTCAAGTTTGATAATACTGTTTTTTTTATTATAAGTTACATAAAATGTGCTTTGTTTCCAGTCTCGGCTGTTTTAGGCTCATTTGTTCTTTATGATCACCACCTCTGGGTTCATCAGATGTCCTGAGTATGCACACCCACCTCATTTTCTTTAAGAGGTCTTGAGGACCTAGTAGTCCCAGGGCTTCTCAGTAAACATGTATTATGCAATATTATGTTGAGAAATCAGAGCCCCTATGGAAATAAAGCGCCCGCATATGTAAAACTGTGTATCACCTAATACTTATTTTTTTTTTTTTTTGGTCTTTTTTTGAGATAGGGTCTCCTTGTAGCCCCAGCTGTCCTAGAACTATGTAGACTAGGCTAGCCTCAAACTCACAAAGATCTGCCTGCCTCTGCCTCCCAAGTGCTGGGATTAAAGGCGTGTGCCACCACGCCTGGCCCCACCTAATACTTTTTAAAGCCAAGAAAGCATCCAGACTATTTTCCTGCTTACAAGATGATTTTATTCATTAAAAAAAAAACAAACAATCCCAGCACTTGGGAGGCAGAGGCAGGTGGATCTTTGTGAGTTTGAGGCCAGCCTGGTCTACATAGTGAGTTCCAAGACAGCTGGAGCTACAAGGAGACCCTGTCTCAAAAAAAAAAAAAACCACTCAAGGGGGTTGGGGATTTAGCTCAGTGGTAGAGAGCGTGCCTAGTAAGTGCAAGGCCCTAGGTTCGGTCCTCAGCTCAAAGAAAAATAAATAAATAAATAAAAAATAAAAATAACACCCAATTTTAGCTGTTTTGCTTTATTATGCTTATTCTTATTCACATTTTTGCCTTTTCAGGTTTTAATAATTATGCAATCCAAGTTCTATTATGGTAGTAATTTTTCTTAAGTTTTCATCTTTAATGGAATGAGTTTGTAAGTATCGTACATTTCCATTGACACCAACGCTACATTTTCAGAATCACAGTAAGATACACAGAATTGTCTGTAAGTACTACATTTCAGGCCATAATTTCTGTTACATGACAAACAAGATCAAGAAAGCAACCATCAAACAAATGAGACACACAGCTTCAGACAAGGCAAACCCCCGGATAGCAAGAGAGCAGCTGCTGCTTCCACAAGGGTTTCTGGCATAACCAATGATAAGACTGCCAAAGACTTCCAATACCAGCACCAGAACCAGCGGTTCCTACCGCTGCAGCACTTACACCAACAAACTTGGCAGTATCAATTTTCTGCTGATTGCCCTGGTCTGAAAGTCCCATCAGATCACGTGACACATTCCGGACCCATTAAATACTGCAGAGCTCTCTCCAGCCCTAGCCTCTGTCCAGATAACACTGATGAAGATATTTGTCTAAATGCAACTCTGAATCCAGCTCAGATCAGAGCAGGGGTGTGGGTGAGCTTGGCGGAAGCAAACATCTTCCCTTGCTGGTGGCCTGGCTGCTGGATGTGGGTGACAGCGTGGGCTCCTCTCCCACTTCTCTTCCCAAGATGGTGATGGCAGCAGCTGGTATTATTTTACTTGCCTCAAAACAGAGAAATAAAATTAAAGGTTTCAGGGCTTTGAACCAGATTATGATGTCATGGTGGTTTTGGGTCATTGACTATATGCTCTTAAAATTTTTAGTATTGGGTCTGGAGAGATGGCTTAGTGATTAAAAGTGCTTACTGCTTTTGCAGAGGACCGAGGTTCAGTTCCCAGCATTCACATGGTGGATCAACCATCTGTAACTCCAGTTCTAGGGGATTGACATCCTCTTCTGGTCTCTGCACACACATGATGCATATAAACGTGAACACACACGCACACCACACAAACACTGGGCATGGTGGCACGTGCCTTTAATCCAGCACTTGGGAGGCAGAAGCAGGCAGATCTTTGTGAGATCAAGGCCAACTTGGGCTACAGAGAGACCGTCTCAAAAAAAAAAAAAAATCTTGCTGGGTGTGGTGGTGCACACCTTTGATCCCAGTACTCCTGAAACAGAGGCAGGTGGATCTCTCTGAGTTCAAGGCCAGCCTGGTCTACACAGTGAGTTCAGGCTAGCTGGGGCTACAGGGAGACCCTGTCTCAAAAAGACCCTCCCAAAATCTTAAAATCTGGCGTATCACAGCTAGAGTCTTCTATACCCAGCTTCGTATTTATATGATCCTTTGAAATTATAGTTAACATTTAATTTCTTGCCTGTTTTATATTTAAGTATTTTTTTATATTTGATTTTATTATTATTATTTTATGCGTATGAGTGTATTGCCTGCATGTATGAGTGCACTCATGTCGTGCAGTGCCACGGAGGTCAGAGGAGGGCGTCAGATTCCCCTGGAACTGGAGTTAAGGACGGTTCGTAGCCGCCATGTGGGTGCTGGGAATCGAACCCGGGTCCTCTGCAAGAGCAGTCAGTGCTCTTAACCGCTGAGCCATCTCTCCAGCCCCCCTCTTTTTTTTGTCTTTTTGAGACAGGGTCTCTTTGTAGCCCCAGCTGTCCTGGAACTCACTATGTAGACCAGGCTGGCCTCGAACTCACAGAGATCTGCATCCCTCTACCTCCCAAGTGCTGGGATTAAAGGGGTGTGCCACCACACCCAACTCTTATTGTTTTGAAAATAGCTTGATACAATTCATCTTTTAGGAGAAGAGTTACC